CTGTGGATAAAATTAAATCAGCATAATGAAAACGTAAAAAATAAATAATTAAAAAGTAGAAAAGTTCAAAGGTACCACGTACATCATCTGGGCCAAGGTGATCCAATGGATTACGATATACAGCGACATTGAATCTTGGATTCTTGCCATAATTCATACCTGTCACGCAGTACCTAAAGGAATTGTAAAATAGTTTATTTTAAACATATATTTGGCGAAAGGATGAATAATAAATGATTTAAGTTCTTGACTTACTTTGTTGTGTATGGGATAATGAATGCATTGTTGTTGACGAGGTTTAGGGACTCCATTCTCCACCAATCCCGAGCTTAGAGTAAGAAAGCGCATCCATAAAAAGTACATTTGTTCTTTGTTGCATTTTTACATAAAGAACTGTATAGATGGGCTAAAACAGCAGAACCCTAACTATACTTTCTTGCTTTTTCAAAGTTCCTAAGCAAATTTAAATACATAAAATTTACACTACTCCCTGTACTTTCGAGAAATAACAAGCTTCCAAATAGTATCATTATATAGTTTCTAGCTTTTATTACTCTTGCTAGCTCAGACGAATTTTCATTTAACTCAAGAGTTGCATAATGTTTTTTGAGTTCAGTTAGTAATATACCTTGGCCTCTAACACCACTACCTTCTACCATATCTTTGCCCAATAATTTCTCACATGGAGAATTGGGTTGTTGAACCGGCCCATTAACCGTCTTACCATCAATATGGAGACCTAATAACAAGTACACGTCCTCTAGTGTGATGGTACATTCACCTATTGGTAGATGAAATATGTGTGCCTCAGGTCTCCATCTTTCCAACATTACAAGTATAAACATGGAATCAATCGTGCAATTTGATATTTTTATAACATTTCCAAAACCCGCATATTCGAGATAGGGCACGATCAACGGGTCGGGAGCAATGTAGTTGTGTGAGCGAATTCTAAACCTTTTAGTATCCTAAACTCAAAATGTAAAAAGTGTAAGAGTCCAGAAGATGAATAAATCAATAATAATTTTATAAAAATATATTAATATATAAGAATATTTGAGAATTTATAAAAACTTACAAATGCCGCAATATTGTCCCTTGTGCCTCTATGAGAGTCGCCCATTGTGAGAAGAGTCATATTTGAAATTGTATAAGATAATGAAAGAGTCTGTATCAGAGAGTGAGATAATTGTTGATGCAAAACAAGTATATTAGGCGCTGTATTTATAGAAGAAATTGTATCAGAGAGTGAATAATTGAGATGGTTGGTGGTTGCATGCATGCATGATATGTGCCACTCATGCGCCAAGTCAAATGGCACCTACATGCAATTTAGAGAGCATGCACCATTCAACTTGGTGTGGGACAGGCCTAGTTGTAGCATAGGTGGCAGGCTAGGTGGCAGGCTAGGTGGCAGGCTAGGGGCAGGCTAGGTGCAGGCTAGGCACAGGCTTTTCTGCATGCATGTAAGACGATTGGACATGTAGGGAGGCGCCATTTGACTTGGCGAATGAGTATAAAATTGAAAGGTGTCTCCATATTAATTGAAGAATTAGTGGTGGCTTACTTTTGTATTGTTCAAGTTCATTACAGCCTATTTAATCCTACATGTATCTAAAGGCCTATACACTCAACCACTCAAACACTCAAATATTCAAACATTCAAACAATCAGACACTTAAACACTCAAACACTCGAACACTCAAACATTCAAACACAATGGCATCTACACACAACATGTTATCAATGCATATTTCAACGGTGAGACATACATTTGTCCCATTTTATTTAAACAGGAAAGCAAATTTCAACGGTGAGACATACAATATGTTATCAATGCATATTTCAACGGTGAGACACACAATATCCTATTTTGTTTAAACAGGAAAGCAAATTTCTTGTCTTTCAAAAAACGATTGGAGGTTAAACTTGGACGAGGTCCTGTGACACAAATCTTCTATCAAAATTCAGTTTTTTTTTTGTGAGAACCAAATAATATATTATAAGGTGGAGGTTCAAGACGACGAGGACCTTCAGAATATGTTTTCCAATCATGAGTGTTTTGGGTACGACTCAATTGAGTTGTACACTGTGTTGTGGGAGCCTCAACTATCACGACCAACTCAGTCACAAGTGGTTGATCCTCTCAAAGAAGAACAAGCAGAAGTAGGTGTCGTTGACGAAGAAGAGGAAGATGACGAGTTAAAGTTTGAAGACATGCTCAACGATGATTCTGAAGATGATGGGATACATGGAATACCTCAGAATGAGATCTACACGCCATCTCCACACATGAAAAACTTCAACATGGGCGAAGATGATTCGTCATCTGATGTTTTTTTCAATCCATTTATGCAGTCAGATGAAAATTTAAAAGAGAAAGACAACTTTAGAAATAGAGAAGATTGTATCCGAGCCATAAAAAAGTTTCACATGCTAAACTCTGTCGATTTTAAGGTAGATCGGGTAAATCCATAAAGGTACAAGCTCAGATGTGTTCACCCAGGTTGTATGTTCAGGCTCACTGCATCATACATGTTAAGAGGTAATTGTTAGGTGATAGGTTTTATGTCCACCCATACATACGTCAATTCTACTCAATCACAGGATCATGGTAAACTAAATTATGATCTCATATGTCAAGAAATCCTACCTCTCGTCAGCAATGATCCATCATTGAAGGTGAAAACTATAATCTCTCACATCACTAAGATATACAACTATATTCCGTCATACCAAAAGGCCTGGTTAGCAAAGACCAAGGTGATTTAAAAGATATATGGAAACTGGTAGAAGTCATACAAAGAACTTTCACGCTATCTGCATGCACTTCAGACATATTCTTCGGGAACTGTTTATATTATGGAAACATTGCTGGCGTACGCCCCAAATGGTACTCATGTCACCGGAAATGGAATATTCGATCAACTGTTCTGGGCTTTTCAACCTTGCATCACAAGGTTTTTATCATGCAAACCTATTATTCAAATTGATGGAACGTGATTGTACGGGAAATATAAAGGCATGCTATTGATGGCAGTTGCACAAGATGGCAACAACAACATTTTCCTAATTACTTTTTCTCTAGTCGAGGGAGAGACTGGTGGTGCTTGGAGTTTCTTTCTTAGGAATCTCCAAACACACATGTCTCCTCAACCTGATCTCTGTTTGATCTTTGACAGACTTGCATCTATTGAGAGTGCATACAATAATCCTGCAAACTGTTGGGATGACCCTCCTTCTACGCATGTCTGCTGCATTAGACATATCATACAAAATTTCATGAGGGAGGTCAAAGACAAGGCTCTTAGGAAAACAATTATGAACGCGGGGTATGCATTAACACAACCTACGTTCAAACACTATCGCAACGAGATCAGATTTTCAAATTCGGACACATATAGGTGGGTTGATAATACTCCGGTGGAGAAATGGACAAGGTCATACGACAATGGACAACGATGGGGCCATATGACAATAAATCTTATTGAATCCAGCAATAGTGTATTCAAAGGCATACGAAACCTCCCAGTAACTTCTTTGGTCAAATCAACATATTTTAAGATGGCTTCGTTGTTTGCCAAAAGAGGTGAAATATGGAATGCGGTCTTACAATCGGGACAACTATGGAGTGAAAGTTGCATGAAGTATATTAAGGAAGAAAGTGTCAAAGCCAACACCCATCTAGTTATAAGATTCGACCGACACAGCCACAACTTCATTGTCAAAGAGATAATCGACCACAACGAGGGGCTGCCAAGACAAGAGTATAGGGTTATACTACCATCTCATTGGTGCAATTGTGGCAAGTTTCAAGCCTTTCACATGTCTTGCTCTCATGTCATTGCGGCATGTGCGTATACTCATCAAGATGCATTACAACTTCTATCTCCCATTTACAAGTCCAAAACCTTGCTCGACGTATACAACAACGGCTTCCCATTGGTAGCGAAACATGATTATTGGCCTGCATACGACGGGGAAATAGTATGGTATAACGATCAAATGCGAAGGAATAAAAAGGGTCGTCCCAAAAGCAAGAGTATCACAACTGAAATTGACTCCCTTGACAAGCTAGAAAGAAAGTGTGGTTTATGTCGTCAGGTCGGACACAATCGAAAAAATTGTCCCATTCGGGCTACAAGCTCGACAACATAAAAACTGTATGCAAATCATCTGCACTTTTTTAAGTTCTAAACATTACTATTTTTCATTAAGAGCAGTTGTTACAACAAACCATACACAAATAATAAATAAAAACACTATAAAACGTCTAAGAAATTACAATCGTCAAAATAATTTCATCTGAGTCATGCATCATCACCATTACGTCACCGTCTGTTCTGACTTCCTACAATAAAAAATTAGGTCTTCCAGTTGCAAGTGAGGTGGTTGTTGTTCTTCTATAGATCCTTCTAATTTGTTCTGCAACCTCGATGTCTCCCTCCAACCATCGCATCAACTCTCTCTTCAGACGCTCCTTGGAGTGAATGTGCCAAAACTTCATTTTCATCGGAGGTATGGTGGCCGAGAAAATAACGTATCCATCTCTGGTGAAAATCATGGGAGATGTCATGACGCAAATAACAGAGAAAAAAATAAGAAGACTGTGCGAGAAAGTGTGAAGAACGATGGAGAAATGGGTGATTTATTTATGGAAAACACAATTGGACGTAGTAGCCAAATGAGATGGCGACTCCTTTCCATTTTATAGTACATGTGTCATTCCACTTGGCTAAAACATAGTGCATGCACCAAGTGAGACGGCGCCTAAGACAAAAAGGTAAACTGCATGCGCCATCTCACTTGACTCCTCCATTATAGAATTTTCTAAAACATAATTATTTGCGTAATTTTCTTTGAAATATGGTTATTTGTGTATTTTTTTTAATACTTAATTATTGCTAAAAAAGATTCCGTTAATTTCATATTTTGTATTTTTTATGAATTATATTTCTGGTGCAATAGTGAGTGTCTAAAGGTTAGAGTGAAGTGTGGCAATGATTTCCGTGTCTCCTCCACATCTATCATTCTCATTTCATAACCATAACCATAACCATAACCATAACCTTACCCTTCACAACACAACCATTACGAATCTAAACATCAACAAGAACAAAATAAAAAACCCCCTCGGTTCATTTCCACCTCCAAAATCATCATCCCTCTTATCTACTCCCACAATCTCAACCCATGAAAATCCAGCCAAACAATCTTATCCTCTCCAACATTTTCACAACCTCTGCAACACCGGAAACCTCAACGAAGCCTTCACCTTCCTTCAATCAAATCTCAACCACATCGTTTCATCTTCCAACCTTAAAAAACCAGAAGAACCTATTGCCATCTTACTACAAGCATGCGGACGCCACAAAAACATCGAACTCGGTCGAACACTACACGCCTTCGTTTCCACGTCACCCCGTTTCCGAAACGACCTCGTTCTCACCACTCGCATTCTCACCATGTACTCTACCTGTGGCTCTCCCTATGATTCACGTTCCGTCTTCGACGCGTCGCGGAAGAAGAATCTCTTCCTCTGGAACGCGCTTCTTAGTGGTTACGCCAGGAACGCGCTTTTTTATGAAGCGCTTTTTATGTTTGTGGACTTGATTTCCTTGACGGAGTTTTCTCTTTCGCCGGATAACTTCACGTTGCCGTGCGTTATTAAGGCATGTGCGGGGCTCTCTGATGTTAAACTTGGAGAGGGAATTCACGCGTTTGCGGTTAAGACGAAGCTTTTCTCCGATGTGTTTGTTGGGAATGCGTTGATTGCTATGTATGGCAAGTTTGGGCTTGTGGAGAGTGCAGTTAAGGTGTTTGAGAGAATGCCTGAGAGAAACTTGGTTTCGTGGAACTCCATCATGTATGCGTATTCTGAGAATGGTGTTTTTGAAGAGAGTTATGGTTTGTTTAAGAGGCTTATGAGTGGTGATGAAGGTTTGGTGCCAGATGTTGCTACGATGGTGACGGTCATACCTTTGTGTGCAGCACAAGGTGAAGTTAATTTGGGGATGTTGCTTCATGGTTTGGCTTTGAAACTTGGTCTTGTTCGAGAAGTGAAGGTGAATAATTCTCTCATGGATATGTACTCGAAATGCAGTTATTTATGCGAGGCTCGAGTTCTGTTTGATTTGAATCAGGAGAAGAATGTTGTTTCGTGGAATTCTATGATTGGGGGATACTCTAAGGAAGGAGATTTTCGCAGGACATTTGAGTTGTTAAGGAACATGCAGATGGAAGAGAAGGTAAGGGTCAATGAGGTGACTCTGTTGAATGTTTTACCGGTTTGCGTGGAAGAGATTCTGTTTTTGAAGTTGAAGGAGATTCATGGTTATTCTTTAAGGCATGGATTCCTTCAGAGTGATGAATTGGTTGCCAATGCTTTCGTTGCTGGATATGCAAAGTGTGGTTCACTGGATTATGCTGAGGGTGTTTTTGTTGGTATGGAGTCGAAAACGGTGAGTTCTTGGAATGCGATGATTGGTGGGAATGCGCAGAATGGTTTTCCTGGAAAGGCTTTGGATTTGTACCGTTTGATGAGAAGTTCTGGCTTGGATCCTGATTGGTTTACAATTGGTAGTCTTCTTTCGGCTTGTGCTCGACTGAAATTGCTGTCTTATGGGAAAGAGATTCATGGTTTTATGTTCCGTAATGGTTTAGAACTCGATGAATTCATTGGGGTATTGTTAGTGTCGCTTTATGTCCAATGTGGGCAAATGTTACAAGCAAAATTGTTTTTTGATAATACGGAAGAGAAAAGCTTGGTGTGCTGGAATACTATGATAACTGGCTCTTCACAGAACGAGCTTCCTTGCGACGCCCTTGATATTTTTCGTCAAATGCTTTCAAGTAATGTTTGGCCTGATGAGATTTCCATCATCGGTGCTTTGGGAGCTTGTTCGCAGGTGTCGGCGCTGCAACTGGGCAAAGAACTTCACTGCTTTGCAACGAAAGCTCATCTCACAAAAGACAGCTTTGTTACTTGTTCGTTGATAGACATGTATGCAAAATGTGGATGCATAGAACAATTTCAGAACATTTTTGACAGCATATATAAGAAAGACGAAGTGTCATGGAATGTTTTAATTACAGGATATGGAATTCATGGACATGGACTGAAGGCTATAGAGCTGTTTAAGTCAATGCAAAGTGCGGGCTGCAAACCAGATTCTATCACGTTTATAGGATTGTTAATGGCATGTAACCATGCAGGTTTAGTAGCAGAAGGGTTAGAATATCTTGGCCAGATGCAGAGTTTGTTTGGTATAAAGCCAAAACTAGAGCATTATGCATGTGTGGTTGATATGCTTGGTCGTGCAGGACGATTGAATGAAGCTATGAAGCTTGTGAACGAGCTACCAGACAAACCCGATTCCAGGATTTGGAGTTCGTTGCTCAGTTCTTGTAGAAATTACGGGGATTTGGATATTGGAGAGGAAGTTGCTAAAAAGTTATTAGAATTGGGACCAGACAAACCTGAGAATTATGTATTGATATCAAACTTCTATGCTAGATTAGAAAAATGGGATGAGGTGAGAAAAGTGAGGCAGAGGATGAAGGATATTGGCCTTCAGAAAGATGCAGGTTGTAGTTGGATTGAAATAGGAGGGAAGGTTTATAGATTTCTTGTTGGTGATGGATGTCTTTTGGAATCAAAGAAAATTCAACAGACTTGGACTAAATTGGAGGAAAAAATAATCAAAATTGGATATAAACCTGACACAAGTTGTGTGCTTCATGAACTAGAAGAAGAGGAAAAGATTAAGATACTGAGAAACCATAGTGAGAAGCTTGCAATCTCTTTTGGTTTATTGAATACAGCTAAAGGTACCACACTGAGGGTTTGTAAAAATCTTCGCATTTGTGTAGACTGTCACAATGCTATAAAGTTAGTATCAAAGGTTGATAAAAGGGAAATTATTGTAAGGGACAATAAGCGGTTTCATCATTTCAAAAAGGGATTTTGTAGCTGTGGTGATTACTGGTAATTGAGGGTCATTGTTGGTTTTTAATCATTGATTACATTAGTGAAGGACTCTAGGAAGCATAAGGGGTTTTTAGTGCCAGAAGCATATCTCATTGCAGTTGATTAATAGTTATGGTTAAAGAAAAAGTAATCCTCAGTGAAATTGTACAATTAAGGACGTGAAGTTGTAATAGTGACTGTAGAAGACTATCTTAAAGTGTGAGGTTATTGAGGAAAATATGTTTGAATAGAAGAAATCATAACTGGACATATAAGGTTGTTTTTTATAAAACATTCTTGAGGTGGATTTATGTTGGGGTTCAAGTGGTAAGGTGGATTTATGTTGATATTTGAATGTAAATGGTTGTGTCTCACATTGATTAAAAATGAAAGAAATATTGGATTTATAAGATGAATATCACATACTCTTATTTTAAGACTTTTGGTGGATAAATGGTGTCAAAATATCTTAAATCTTGAACATTTATGAATGAAGGCTAGTTTATTTGGACCATTTAAAATAAGTTCAAAAACAATGGTGTGGTTTAATGGTTATGCAATAAAAGAAATTAATTTTAAATAAATTGATTTCGTAAAGTAGATTTCGTAAAATTGATTAATGGTTAGAAGTAAGTTATAATTAAAATAATTTATATTTAAATATTGATCTAACCTGATCAGACTTGGACCATCACGGCTGACTCCGAGCTGAAGTTTTGAACGAGGTGGGGGGTACCTACAAGGCACTCCGATGCTGAAGTAAGTAAGAGCACGAGCAGACAAGAGTATGAGTATGGGTAAAAGAATGAATACCTGACCCTCTGGGAACAGAGGGTATTTATAGCCCCCAGCGTTGGGCCAAGGTTCCTTCATTGGGCCGGGCAGGTTTGGCCCAATGGAGGAATTGCCAGGTTCTACGTGCGTAATAGGGACCCGCACGTGGTCCCCTTCCTGGATGTTCTGCGTGAAATACGAACGGACGAGGACGCGGTCTTTTCGGGATCCAGGTGACGGCGTAGTGGATAGAGTCTGCCCTAGGAGGAGTGCTCGAGCTGAGGTCGAGCAGGATAGTATGGAGTCGAGGATGTCGCACTAGCAGAGAATGTCGGGCACGGATATGGCCTTTTGGTCGGCGTGACCCCTTGCAAGACCGTTTGGATTGGGCCTTCACCATTGCTTTTGGGCCAGCCCGGCCCAGTCCAGAACAGGAGCCCCCCAAGTCGTGGTTCCTGTAGTAGGAGCCATGGCTTGATCTTAGGTCGCCTGCGTTACGGGGTCTCGTTCCCGACTAAAATAGGTAGTCCCTGCGGTTTGCTCGAGGAGTTTTCCCCGTGTCGGGCTCACCAGATGATTCCGCGCGAGGAGCGCTCGAGGAGTCTCGACGGGCTGCGTTGTTGGGCACGTGAGGCATCTCTTCGGGAACCGTGCCGCCACCCTACTGACGATAGGGTCATCATTGCCTAGGGGAGCTACACGTCGAGGAGGGAAGTTATGTGGTTCCCCGGGGTGACGTTTGGTATTCCACGTCATCACTATAAATAGGGTCTTTGGGCCCCAGAACGTGTTTTCCCTCTTCGCGCTTCTCCTCTTCATTCTGTTTCTGCTGTTGTTGTTCTTCCCAGATACTCATAGGACCGCCGTGATCTCCGTCGCTGATTACCCTTCTCCGTCGTCACATTTCCTTCCTGATTCCAAGTGTCTTGTTTCCTTTGTTTTTCCTCTGTGATGCATGATTTTCATTGTTTTTAGACGTTTTAGAGACTGTACGCCTGAGATTAGCCCGATAGATTTATATTTAGCTCGACAAATCCATGTTTATGCCCGGCGAACGCGTGTATGCGCCCGGTAAACGCATAGTTTAGGTATTTGACTCGCAGTGCTGCCCGGGGTCTTCATGACTCAGGGCGCCTAATTCTTGGTAGTGCCCGGTAAACTCATGGTTCTAGTTTTGAGACACATGACGTCGCTCGCCATGTTCGTAGCCTAGGTCGACACATTCGTGAGTGGTCGAGATGTTGGCCTATTCAGGCGATCTGTAGGGAGACTTGTCGTGGTATCTGGGAGTCGGGGAGGTGACTGTGCTCTTTTTGTCCGAAACACCAACTTTTTGGTCGCGCGTGGAGCGACGTGGTTTGTCGTGCCCTTCATCTCGTCCATTATGGCGAGCGTGTGGTTTCGCTCCCGATTGATTGGTTTCCTGTGCTTTGTAGGTAACCATGGCGGACGAACCGTGTTCTTCAGGGCGCACCGAGGTGGAAGAACAAAGTGCTGATGAAAATGTGAATTTGGTTGACACCATAGAGGATCCTCTGCTGGAATGGGTGGGTGCTGAGCCCAGAGGGATAACTTCGGCCTATAGTCGACGTAGTCGAAGGGCATACACCATCCTCGAGAAGGGCAGTAGCCAGCCCGGTTTCCAGAAGAACTTCGTCGTCACTCGACCAACTTTCACCGCCCGAATCTGCTCGGAGTTCCCCGAGTATGGATTCCCCATGTATGAAATTGCCTTCAAGGACCTTGGGTTAGATCTGCCCTTCAGCGATTTTCAGGTCGGGGTCTTCAGCCATCTGGGGCTGGCCCCGTCGCAGCTTCACCCAAATTCGCTCGCTTTCATCCGGGCGTTCGAGCTAACTTGTCGGTTTCTAAGGATTGGGGCGACCATACCCCTCTTCTTCAGAGTCTTCCACCTTCAGCGCCAATCCCGGGGAGGTAGGCATAGCTGGGTTTCCCTGAAGCAGTCGAAGAGACTTTTCAGGATGTACATGGATTCCGTGCGGGGTTTCAAGGACAAGTGGTATATTGTGAGGCCGGTTACCACAGCAGGTTTAGAGTCTGTGTATGAGGAGGAAACAGTCGTAACCGACGACCACGGGGAAGCCCTTTTAGACGACGAGGGACGCCCGGTGTTAGGGCGCGTGGCCAAATTTCCCTTGCATTGGACGTCGAGGCACTATGAGCATGGCACCGGGTACTACCACACGTCCGCGGGAGAGATGAGCCCCGAAGACGAGAAAGCTTATGGTACTCTCTGTCGGTACGTCGACAGTTTCTTCCCCGCCAGGTGGGCCACGAGGGAGGGGAAGGATATTCTTGACGAAGAAGGTTATCCTACCTTCGAGGCCCGACTGATCGACACGAAGGCACTTGTGGAGTGCCAGTCCTTCGGGCAGGCGGCGAACCTGCTAGGTCGATATTGTTTTGTCTTGTTTGAATTTCTTCACTTGTTACTTGTTTGCTTATTTGCCCGTCACTAACCCAGGGTTCTTTCATGCAGGTCTGATGGTCGGGCGAAGGGAGAGGCTCTTGAAGTTGTCCTGTGACAGGAAGGTTAATAAGAGGGTGGTGAGGGTTCCTCAGGTGACGAGGATGGGCCCGCCATCTAGCCCGGGCACTTCTCAGGCGACGAGGGTGGACTCGCCACCTAGCTCGGAAGCTGCTTCGGGAGGGATCCCGGACGTCCAGGAGGTCGAGCCACATACCGACCTGATACAGAGGAAGAGGAATCGGGTGGAAAGCCAACTGGAGGTCGGTGAGGACTCCAACGTTGTGAGGTCCTTCGGGTTTCCCCCTTGCTTTAAAGAGGAGGGTTTCTTCGAGGGGTTTCCCTTGTCCGTGAGTGCTGATGAAGCCGAAACTATCAGGCGGATGAGCAAGGAAAACCGGAGAAGGCACTTGGCCGCCAATATGGTCGGGCTGGTAAAGATGGCCGAGATGGCTGTTGTGTTGGCCGAGGAGGGGGAGGACTCTGACCGTATCAAAGAGTTGGAACAGGAGAAAGCTGCCCTCACCTCGAGTTCGCGAAAGTTGAAGGCTGCTCTGGAGCGCTCCGAGGAGATGTTCCGCGAGCAAGCCGAGCTGCTGGTGGCGGAGACAGAGTTGCTGGCTCTGGAGAAAGAGAACTCGGGGAAGCTGGCCGAGGAGAGAGACCTTTTTCGTGCGGACCGAGAACGTCTAGAAATTGACAACGGGCGCCTCGCCAGAGAGATCGAGGATCTAAAGGCCGCTATGCTTCCTGCCGAGGACGAGTCAGAGGATACAGCTCCTTTGCGGACTGTGTCGGTGCTATGGCGGACGACTTTGAAGCCGCGGTCAACCAGCTTTCCCTGTTGAATCCCGGCCTGAACACTGAAGGGGTGAGCCATATGTCTCAGATCATTGATGGTCAGGTCGTGCCTCCGCCCGACTCTCCTGTTGTTGGTGGTGATAGCTCCGGGGAAGCTGAGTTGTGAGATAATGATGGGGCCTGCGCGCCTTGTTGATGTTTGTTTTGGGCCTGCGTGCCCGTTCATATTTTTTGGGCCTGCGTGCCCGTTCTTTGTATTTCCTGAACATTGCCGGCCTTCTTAGTCAGTTTATATCTATTTGCTTTGTTGCCTACGGGCGTTTTGAATGAATGTTTGTTTTACACCTTTGATTGTTTGCCCGTGTTCGTGTTTAACATTTTTGTGCTAAATTTGGCCCAAGTTATGGGCCCGAGTCGTGCTCGTACGGGGTTGTGACTTTGGCAAATTTGCCTAAGTCCTTTGTTCGTGCCTATGCTCGACTTCTTCTCGGTGGCCAGATTTGCCTAAGCGGTGACCTCGAGGGGAGAGACTTCCTTTTGACCCTTTTAGATGTCCTGACGTTCTTCGAGATTCGTCGGGCGCGCAGAGCGAAACCGCTTGGTCGGGTATATGACCCGGGTCGGGGTTATTCACCCGCGGCGTGAACTGCCCATCGCGAGCTGGGTGTTCTTCCCTACAGGTACTTCGACGGTGGAGCTCGATAGAGGTGTCCACGTCGGGCACTATCGTTTGTTCTTGTTTTGTTGAACGATGTTATGCGGTTTGGACGTAGGTCGGGCCTGTACCTCGGCCTCTCTACGGGGTCGGACGTTTCTCCTCGTTGACTGGGCGCGGGAGTCGACAGTCGAGGGTCCTCAGTGTTGGTGGTTTTTAACTATAGTACTGCTTTAGTTTAGCAGCGTTCCAGGGTCGTGGTAGTGGCTCTCTGTCTAGTTGCTCGAGGTAGTACGCCCCGGTA